CGGCTGAGGGACTGTCTGGAGAGGGCGGGCGATACTGATGAACTCCATATTCACTTGTCCGTACTGAATGCACCCCGTGAGGTGGCAAAGGATGACGAGGAGATGATGGATCTGTTAAGAAAGACGCTCCCGAGGTGGAATACGGTCACGCTACATCTCAACCGACGAGAGAATGTCCTGGATGGCTTTGACCAGTGGACCTCACTGCGGTCCTTGTCTGTCACATTTCTACGACAAGTCAGCACCACATCATTTGAGCCGCTCTTCGATTCGATCGACAGGTCGGCACTGCAACTCAAAACACTGCATATTTCGGGGGACACGCGGGAATGGGCACCCTACTTCCAGTCCGTATTCCCCCGCCTCGTGTCCTTCACTCTCCAAGACTCTTCTCTCCGATGTCTGGGTAATATTCATTGGAAGAATCTACAACATCTTGTTCTCGTACACTGTGCAGGCGCGCTAGCTACAATGAACCCGTCCCCTTTCCATTCCGGTACCACCTCTTTCCCCGCCCTCAAAACCTTGACCATCCACAGAGCACCGGCTGAGGTGATACAGGGGTTCCCACTCGACACCCTCAAAGAACTCTCCATATCCGATTCCGAAATGACACTCAGCGAAGTACGGCTCCTCCCCAAGTTGGAAAGCCTAGACCTCCAGCTAAAAGCGTCTCAAATGGGCTTTTTAACTTGGTTAAAGACCCCGAATATCAAATCGTTTGAACTAAAGCAGGTGGAGCCCGGTGATCTGAACGGCAACACTCCTCTTGCCGCGTTGACCACGTTCCTCAATCAGAACGCGAGGATGATCCCTGAACAGCCCCCTGTCAATGCGCAGGATGAAGAGGAATCGACAGACCCTTCCACTTCCACAGCCGCGGACGCCACAGCGTCACCCGATGCCTCTTCCTCCACAATTGCAACCGCTCTCGATGCACCAACCGCACTCACAACCGAATTGGAAAGGACCAGTGCCTTTGCTTTTCGGCATGTAGCTATACAAGATGTCGTGGTTGATCCAAGTGCTTTTGAGAGTGTTCTCAAGAGGAGTCCCAATCTTGAGGTCTTGAGGATCGTACCGATCTCATTGACCGCGGCACGCAAATTGCTGTGGCTCAAGGAGAAACAGGGGACGTTGGCGGGTGACGGCCCACTGGATATCGCACCTATAGAACCCCAAACGGACTCTAACTCTACTCGGGCAGACAATGGTCCTAGTGATGAGGTGATGGGTAGAACGATGGATAGTATTGTCATCGACACTGATACGGAAATGCAGATAATAGAACAGGAAGTGAGTTCAGATGCAGACAGAACGAGTGTAGAACTCGATCTCCTCGGCTTGGATTGGTGCATGCCCGACACCACGACCACAACTGCAGCTTCTTCTCAATCTGGACAGATATATTCTCCTACAGACTTTATGGATCTTCCCATGGACGAGGGACCCTCTTCGATACCAACACCCGAGCTTTACATCCTTGACGACCTGCCCAGCTCTTCTGAAAAGGCTGCTAGTTCAATGACACTCACAAGCACCTCGACGTCTGCTCCTCTCTCTATGATCGACTTGAATTCTCCTCCCTCTGCCTCTCCATCCGGTCCGAAATCCATGGACGATGTCCATCGGGCCTCATCCGCAGACCCGCCCTACCACGTCCACACCCCAAGTGTGGATCCTATTCCCTCTTCCTCCATGGAGATATCCAACTCCCTCCCCATTGAACTTATCCCCTCCAGTGCTCTTTCTGATAGTGACATGCCTACTGCTTCCACTTCTGTATCCACCCCGACCCCCATCACAGCCGCTACAACCCCCGCTGTTCCTACCACAATCGTCGCATCTCCTTCTCCCGAGACGACAGATAAAACACCACCTCCACCCCAGGTATCACCATCGAACGCTTCCTCGCAAGAGAATGGAGGACAATATGTCGCTCCTGCTCTCCATGAAATCAAGATCCGTATTCTACCCTATGCTCTATATGTCGAAGAGGATGCCGAAGCGACCCTACGCAAAGAGCTCGAAGAAGTCGCAAAGGAAAGGACGGAGAATGGGCTTCCCCTGAGCGTCAAAATTTTCAGAAACATCGTCAAATAGGCGATATCCTTGCACCACATGAGCTAGACCTCTCCCCTACTATCCCTTTCCTCCTTCTACTTGTGCTTGATCCTACCCCTATCCCTTTCCTGCTATGACTCTCCAATTCTCCACGGGACGTTTTGGAGGCCTCACGATCACAGTTTCTCGAGTCTTGTTTTTTCCCCTTGTCTATTCTTTGTCTGTGTGTCTTTTCCCCATGCCTCGCTTCTACCTGTTTCATACCGCTTCTTCTGCGATTTTGTTCACGAGCATCGGAATGCAACCTACTGGTCTACTTTCCCTTTTCATCGCACCCGACTTCCACATCATAGTCTGTTATTCATGTATGGCCTACCCACAGTACGCTGTTTAATCCTGCAATGCAACCATGTGCTCCCGTCAATACATTCAGTAATCATCCCTGATTTTTAGATCAGTGTAACGACCTGAGCCTGTCAAGAATGTGTCTTTGTGAAGTGAATACAAAGGCCTTAGAATAATCGGTCAACGGTAGGCACCTGAACTGAGACTCAGCCGCTCCAGCCACAATGCCTCGGTCTCGGTCGCAGAAGTACACCATTTTTTGTGTCATCCCCAGTCACTCGGAAACATCATTTTATGTTAAAGTAAAGCCGTCCATTACAGTAGGAGAGTTGAAAGGGGAGATTGTCAAAAAAAAACCCCACATTCTAGGTGGCATTGATACGGACGAGCTCAAATTGTATCGGGTGGATATCGCGGACGAGGAGAACGTAATACGTGATACGGTACAAAATTTGTCAGGAAATTCAACTGCAACTCTAATCAGACCGGCATGGCCGTTATTGGACGTGTATCCTACCACTCCTCCCAAAAAAAAAATCCATATCGTTGTTGTGTCTCCTAGTGCCGGTGCGTTCATGATCAACCCTTACTCGCATTAAGCCACCTACTCGTACAAACTCCAAAGCATACTGCTTCATTTCTGGCAGGTTTCGCTGACATCGTTCCTTATCTCCATCCAGATGAAACTCCACTACCGTCACTCGATCAGTCTCCCGATTTAGGAGCATCTCCGGACCTTTTCATCGTACGATCCAAGATTGACGAGTTTCTGGCCCAGCTTCGGCCTAAGATCAAAAAATTCCTCGAGTCGCCACGCCTACCCAATTGGAGCCCACCTGAAGGGGCTAGCGAAGAGGCTCAGACGTTCTATCAAGAGCTTGCAATTCCGCTCATCAAAGGTAGCCCGAGTTTTCTTTTCCACAAGCTCCAGGAAACTTCCAGTCCTAATGGAGATATGCTGTTTGAAGGCAAATACAAGTGAGATGCCACTGATTTGAATCGTTATAAACACTGATAGTCCTTCAGGATTCTATGCAATACATCAGGCTCCGGTAAGACCCGAATCCTGTTTGAGGGTCTTTGCCACAAGTGGGGCTTCTACTTCGTAGCTGCTCAAGGGCTGGATAGAATAGGATCCCGAGATCTTGAAGCTATGACCCAACGAATGTCTCGCAGCCGGGGTTGGATTGAAGACATATTCAGAGCCTCCAACCCCAGTCGAGCAAACGACATCAACGAAGGAATCGCCTTCAATCGAATCTGGAGGGTATTGATAGCCCGTTGGACAATATTTCAAGCCTTTATCGATGTGGCCAGATCGTGCTATGACGGGAAACTACCGTACCATATCAAGCATGACTGGTTGTTGTTTCAGACCCTTCCTCTAGTTCTTGTAGACAATAGGGATCCCTTTGTCGCATTCATCAGCACATGCTTACCTAATGTTGACGATGAAGTGCTCGATTCCCTTGACAAAATCACTCCAGAGAAGGTCCTAGGCCATGACTTCGACTCTCAGCACGACCGATTCTTCTACGTCTTAGATGAGGTGCAGGTTGCTGGTAGAAAGTATGATTCGTGCTTTCTAAATGCCTCTGGACAAAAGGCCCGGCCGGTACTGAGGCCAATCATACGCAAGATGACTGAAATTACTTCTATCGGTGTTATCGTATCTGGGACCGGTTTCTCCCTGGATAACTTCAAGGATATACTCACATCAGGCATCAGTAAAGCTTCTGGTAAAGAAGATGATTGGATTGTGCAGTATCGTACGGGAGACTTTATACTTCAGGAATCACAACTGTCCTATATCCATCGTTATCTCCCTCGCTCGTTTCTCGAATCACCGTCCGGGATTTTATTAAGAGATCGCATGTTCAAATGGCTCAGGGGGCGGTAAGTGATAGGACCTTTTCAGAAACCTCACTTCTTTGACTCCGATGTGCTTGTACCATAGGCACCGCTTTACAGCTCGTTTCCTAGAGGAATTACTCCAAGGGAATTGGAATCAGGAAGGCCCCTCTTCTCCCCATAAGATTCTCAACGCATATATCAAGGCACTATCGAATTTCGATCCTATTGATGCTGCTATCACCCTTCTCGACTCGGAACCTTCTATTTTACCCCTTACGATCCCTACTTTTGAATGGGAAAAGATCGATAAAGGTACATCATATCGTTCTTCGTCTTTTCAGTGGTTGATTTATGTACAGAGCCTGGCTTACTGGACATACTCGCTAAGTCTATATATGACCTCCTTACTCGAGGTGTCTATCCTCTGTGGTTTCCCGACCATAAATCTCTTGTCGAATACGGACTTGGTCGATTCCCAACGGAGGATGCAGTAGAAATCATAGAGCCACTGGCTATCATCAGTCTTATTCGCCACTTTGAGTCCAAAGGCAAGACGCTCACTGGCAATATTCTCGCGAACCTTCAAGTCAATAAGGGCACGGCATTCGAAGAGGTTATCCTTTGGGCGATGACAAGACTTCTTCAAAATCGAATCAAGCTGAAGGACATTCTTGAATTCAAAGGACCAGTTCCAGAATGGGCTCATTGCACTGCCCAAATTATCTCTGGATCTCCTAATGGATTCGTGGACTTTGATATCATTAACGAACAGCCAGTTTCCCCGGGAACTGGTACTGCTTTCTATGGCGATGGTGTTGAATGGGTCAAATTCTGGCTAGAGGAAGGTGAGGCCGGCTGGTGCCTCCCAGATAGATATATGGGTCCTGACCTGATGGCACGTGTGCGATTGAGCAATGGGGAAATCATGTTATTGGTTATTCAAGTCAAATGTCGCCGCTCAGGGAATGTCAAGACTCTCGCTGGCGATGTCACTGGTGATGCAATCCAGTCGCTTATTCCCCATAGGTGGTACTGCTCAACTGTCTGTAAAACTCTATCCTCTACAGTTCCTGTTGTAATTTATCTATTGACAGGTTAAAGGGGCAAAGAATAAACGACAAAAGACCCAAGCCAAAATCAACTC